TCGAACAATACAAAACAAATCGATGAATCCGCTAAAAGAATTATGAACCCTCAATCTATTTATTACAGTTAATTAACTAAACATTCTTATTTTAATTAATTTTGTACAAAATAATTTGTATTATAAACGATTCCTTATTAGCACAAAGTTTCGATGATCAATTCCAAAGTATCTAGAAGATGTAGTCCTCTTCAATTTTAAAGAGCCATGTCTATGTCCAAACTAAAATATCAGTGAATAGTGATGATCCCACCTACCAATTTTCACTTACAAAATGTATGGGATCTGGCTTCTCTGCCCTTTTATTTCCATACATTCTTATCCTCTTTTATTTGTACGGTCACGGTTAAGCTACGTTAACATTTTATATTACTATTATTTTTTGTCTTATTATCTTTATAAAAAAATTAATATAAAAGTTTAACGTGGCTTAACCGTGACCACATAAAATAAAAAATAATAAGAGTGTATGGGAAGTGGGAGGGCAGAAAAGCCGGGTCCCATCATATAACTTCAAAATCCTAATATTTCCGCGTTGCAGGTTGAAAAGCCTTTTGTTGTAATAGTTTTGTCAAACTAAATCCGGAGTTGGTCTTCTAAGGGAGACTTCCTTTGTGGCTGGCAGAGGAATAAGTTGCTAACTACAACTTCTTCAAACCCTGATGTTCATTATAAAGAGATCAGACAAGAGAATTAAACATAGGATTAATTATTAATCCTTATTTTCAAGTTTTCTTTATTGAAGATCAACTCAATCAAATAAAGAATTAGGTTTGATTCTCGCTAAAATCAATTTTTATCTTTAACTTGTTCTTATCCTTATATTTGTCCACTTAATATGAGGTACATATGTCACCAAATACTACGGTACAATAGTATTCCTCTTCACTTGTAAGTGAGAGGTCTTAGGTTCAATTCTCGTTAAAAACGAATTCAATCCAAATTATTACGGCTAGCCCAATTGTGACGTTTAGTACACTTCCTCATCCCTTAGTTTAATATGGGTAATGCTAGGGAAACTAAATATTTTAAACCAACTTTTGCAAACTAAATGGGGTGTCACTAATATGATATAAGCACATTAATCAACATTTAAGTAATAATCCAATTATCAACTAACACGTCATTTGGTTCACAAATTTAGTTTAAAAATTTGGGCTCCCTAACATTATTCAATTAATTTATTAAAAAACAATATGAGGTACATGTGTTTTGAATTGTTTTTAGAACAATACTTGCCTACTTAAAGATGAGTAGGAACTCCTACTCAAAACTCTTCACGTTCGAATCACATAGCTTTGTGCTTATGATCAGAACAGTTGATATTATGAAACACACTATAAAGTTCATCTCTGTAAAAATGAATTAAAACTAAGGTCATTTAGTTAATCTATTCTAGCAAATACATAGACAGTTCGGAATACTTTTACCAATTCCGTTAATTTGTTTTTATACAGTTCGATGCCTAAACGACTTCAATTTTAATTGATTTTTTGCAGAGAGGATCTTTATAGAATGATTTATAATATCAACGGTTCTGATTATAAAAATGGAGTTCTATAAATCAGCAACGAATCATTTTAGTAGGAACTCCTACTCCTTTAAGTAGCCAAGTATTCTTGTTTTTATTTGATAAGGGTAATTTTGGGTGTGAGAAATTCAGGACCAGATTTATCTTATTTTTATAATACAAAGATATTTTTACAAATAAAGGGAGAGGTGATTGAACTAGTCATTCTTAATTACAAGTTCACATTACAAGGATCAGCAATTACAATTGTGATTAACGAGTCTCGAATTGGTGAAATGAGAAACTTTGTAAGAACCAATAAAAGGTTGGCTATTCCATATATTGCCAATTGATTTTATAGTGGAATCTCAAATTTCTTTATAGTATCAGAGCAAGTTGGAACACATGTGAAACACAACGGTCACACATGCTCCACGTCACTCGATTCGTGTTGTCTACGCGTTTGACTTGTAATTCGCCACATATGAAGGACGTGTAAGGATGTGAAGGTAAAAGATCCACATCGTTGAAAAGAGAAACCATGTATGGACTTGCAAGAGGTTGAGCTATTTTTCATATTGCCTTATAAGATATTAAACTTGATATAAATATAATACGTTCTCGCAGTTCTTGTGAACCGAATTCAAAATCTCTTATTTACAAATGAAAAAGAAAATGACTAAACTATAATACTATAGTTGACATATTTTTATTTCTGAGTATGCTTTGTTTTGATTTCAAAGTTGCTACGTGTTTGTACGTGTTTATCTCCTAATCCTTTTGTTGGGGACAAAATTTTATATTATATTCAAATAAAAATGTTTACATCATATGTCTGCCACTCATTTATCAAACCTGAAAATCCCCGAGTAAGTTAATTTACGCGATTAAAGGTTTATACATTTTATTAGACGAGTAAGGAGGTTGGTTTGTGTCTCAATCAGATTTTTCACATAAATATGCTTATTGTTTAATGCTTCTTTGGTCTCACAGACCACGACAATGATATCAAACAACTAAAACAGAGACTTTGACGGTGAGTGACCAAAAACTAAGGAATCAACTTGGCCACTTAATTCGTTCCAAAAAAAAAAAAAAAAACTTGGCCACTTAATGAATGAGCTACGTGATCAATTTATGAAATTTTATATTTATGATCGAAAACGTTTATATTATAAAATATTATGTAAAGATTCTTTTTGTATAAACCAACAAAATGTAAGATCCTTTAGCCATCAATTATATAAAAACAAATGAACGAATCCACTAAAAGAATTATGAACTGTCTATGTCCAAGCTTGTAAGCGTTACTAAAACTAAGCAATAAAGGTGCACTAGACGTGGTATAACCAGACAGCTTCATTTAGATGTCATATCCAGATAGTCTCTCTATTTGTTACAATTAATTCACTAAATGATCTTATTTTTAATTGATCTTTTATAAAGATGATCTTTACATAGTTATTTATAATATGAATAATTCCAAATATAAGCACAAAGTTTTGTTAATCAATTACAAAGAATCATAAAGAAAAACTCCTCTACAATCTTAAGGAGTCAAGTCTCTATCCACACTAAAAGATCAGTGAATAGTGATGACCCCACCTACCAATTTTTACGAATCCTCGTCGGATTCTCTTTGCAGTTCATTGTACATCGTGCGGTCAAAAATCATTGTAATTTTTTTTAATTTAAAATCGAATATAAACAGTACCTAACGAAAATTAGCCACACGCTATATGATTAACGGATGTGATTAGAGGATCAGGCGAGGATCCTCTCTTAATTTTTATTTTATTTTATTGCCAACGATGAACTTTTATTAAAACAAACACACACTTACAAACCAAATAAAGGCCCAATTTATTTCTAGAAACAAACAAAGAGCGGGTCTAAAAACAAATAAAACATAGAAAAAGAGCCCAACAACAGTGAAGCCCAAACAAAAACAAACAACCAAGAACCATCCATTGTGGTTACCACCGCCAATCCGAGAATTAGCCAGCCACCCGATCCTCCGTCCATCGCAGATCATCCCCTCCACATGCGCCACCTGTACACAACCATCAACAAGAGATAGTCGGCAAGAGAGAAGCCAACCATCGGAAAGAACGTTCGGGAAATTGCCGAACAACACCATCGGAAACGGCAAACAACAAGGAGAACGTGGTGGTGTGGAAGACATCCGAGTTGGATACCACACCGGAACTCTACACACGAACTCAACAGAAAACATGACTAAAAAACGAAGCAAGCAAGGGCCATGAAAAAGGACACCCACGGAGGTTCAATTTTCCTCTATGGCTTTCCTCTATCAATTTTTACCTGCAAAATCTATGAGGTTTGCATACATGAAAAGCATGATTTTATGGATACGTTTTATAAAACGATTATAAGAAAATTGAATTCATGCTTTATAAATATCATGCTTCACTGGATTTATGCTTATTGAGATATTCTCAAATAATGATTTAAGATATGATGTTTGAGCTATTGAGCTTCATTGAGATATTTACATATATTTTAGAAATATTATGTTCATATTTTTATTGTGCTTATTCAGTGGTTACTCATATATGTGCCTACGGGCGAATGATATCTATATATGGCTTTGGTCGGGTGCTGTAAGGGCCTACGGGTAAATGATATCTATATATGGCTTCGGTCGGGTGCTGTAGGGACCTACATGCGAATGATATCTATTTATGGCTTTGGTCGGGTGATGTAGGGGCCTATGGGCAAATGAAGATATATATATATGGCTTCGGTTGGATGACGTAGGGGCCTACGGGCTAATGAAGGCCTTCGGGCAATTTTGATACTACTACTAAGCACACTTATATGATATATGTTTTATGAAGTTTTATGGCATGCTAGGGCTTTCGGAAAAAACCTATTATACTATTGAGTTTTCATAAACTTTGGAGGTTAGTACATTGATGAATCACTATTTTAGTATTACTTATACTTGGTCCACTCATGTTTTGTTTTGCACCCCCTCAGGACCTAGGAGTGAGGCATTCCCGTACTAGTGACTTTGTGTCCTTTCCGCTTGGACATTCTTGTAATAGCACTTTCTGTTACACATTCCGCTTGTAATCTGAATTAGTAATTTGCTCTAAACATGTCATGCATTATCACTATTATTTTGTTGGCAATTGAACTTATTATATTATTTTGTTAAGTTTGTATTTGAATATTACATTGCGTAGTTATGCGCGAAATTTATATGCATGTTTCACATGTTCTCGACATATGCATTCATAAAATGGCTTGCGTCACCTCGGATGTTGGCCAACACGTGGCCATCCCGTTGTCCTTCGGACATCAGGATTAGGGTGTGTCATCTTCCGAGTTGAGATTAACTGGTACAAATACAGTAAGAATTAACTAGTAAAACTAACCAAATGCATCTGAAATTTGGAATAAGACACGAATATATATAAAACTAACCAAATGCATCTGAAATTTGGAATAAGACATGAGCATATATAAAAATTACAACTTTAAAGATGTCTAGAAATCATAATTTCATCATCCAAGTTGAGCTTGCAGACTTTGAAAGCACTGAGAAAGTGAAAAAAAAATCTATGCCACATTGATGGAAAAAATAGGTGTAAGACCGTACAGGGACATGTGAGTAGAAAATTTCACAAGTTGAGCTAGACTAATTAGTAAAATTTTAAGGAGATACATTTTTCTCTCTCACATGTGTAGGCATCATACACTATGTATTGATTTGTGTCATCCGAACAAAGAATGCAAGTATGAAAGAAGAAAATATATCAGGAAGAAGAGACCGACGAGTGGTAAATGCAGGCAGTAAGGGAGTAAAGCTAGCAATATCTGTCTGGTTCTTTTCACCCAGTGGCGTAACACTCTTCCAGGGGCAGAAATCCTCGAGGACCTCAACGCATTGTCTTCAAATGCTCGTCTTTTATCTAAACTTTCCAAATACCACCAATGTAATGTAATTTGCATTCCACACTTGCCTCTGATACCTCTCTAGTCTTGCTTTAAGCTCTGTGCTAAACAAAGAAAACTTTTGCAAGTTTCCTGGCATAGCCGCAGAGCAATAGCATTATGCATGCACTCTCCAAACATCACTGGCAAAGTCCTGCATATATAAAATCTACGTGCATTCCAGTTGCAGTCATAGTCACAGAAGCAAAGCCATACCCAGATAATGGTACATAGAGGATCAAGGCGAATTTCAACACTTTTATCACAGACTCACTCATTACCTTGCCAGAAATGTTTGAAGTTCATGTGTTTTGGAATCCTGTGCCACCGTGTAATGCCCTGGGTGACATATGTAAGGCAAATACTAATTTCGATATGAGGTCTATGTTCTGCACCTAGTGCCTATGTATTGCTTACTTATTGCCTATGTAATGCCTTTTTCAGAGTACACAACAGTTGAAAGATCGATTACGACTCACATGTTCTCAATCTATGATCAAGATCTCGTCTTTATACAATAGAGAAGTCATCGACATTTTATCGCGATTAGGGGTTCTTTTTTCATCTTATAACTTCAAATCGTAATATTTCCTGGTTGCAGGTTGAAAAGCTTTTTGTTGCAATACTTCGGAGTTGGTTTCCTTAAGGAGACTACCTTAATGACTGTTGGTGAGGTGGAAGCGAAGGCAGTGACGTTTTGCCTTTTACGGGATAGGGATTAGGGGTTCTTTTTTCATCTTTTAATCTATTTGCTCAAAAGTCTTTTTGCTATCTCCATTAATCCAGCTCTGTCAGAGTTGTTGAGTCTATTACTGGACTTATGAGGTAACGGTATTCCGACCCGCCTTACTCCGGCCTTAGAAAATTATAGTTCCACAATTGCCTTTAACTATGTATTTGAAATGAACTATTTCCCCTTGAGGATAGATAGTTATCCAAAGACTATGCCTTTCAGAATAAGTTGAAATACGTACGGTTTATTCTTCTATCTTCAGATGGCGATCTTGTTCTGTGGAGTAGTGGAGACATTTCAAATTCAGATGTGCGATCTCGAGTGTCGTGCCATAAAGGTCGCAATGATGAAGTTCGCCTTTATTGTGTATGGACACAAAACGAGAAATTTCCTTTAATATTCTCAATTGATTGCAACCATTGATTTCGTTGATCCAGAGAGAAACCAGTCCGTATTCAACAACTCAAATGTCTCTTGAAATATCTTTAAATATCTTGTGGAACTCTTACCTTCTCCTCTACTGGGTTTTCCATTTCTACCTTCTTCTCAGCAAAGTCATTGTTCCCTAATCGACCTACTGGTGGATTCAACATCTCAAAACCAATTGGTAAGCTTCTTGGACACATACTCGGGCTACAATCAGATTACCATGTACAGACATGATAAAGAGAAGACCGCGTTCGTGATTGAGTGGGGCACCTAATGCTACATAGTCATGCATTTTGGTCTCAAGAACGCGAGCACAACATACCAACGATTGGTAAACATGTTCAAGAACCAGATCGGAGTAATCATATAGGTTTACGTTTTCCCACTGAGCTTGCTAGGAATAATCCTCGAATGAAGATTTAAAAATTAAATATTTCGGTTCAAGAAGCCAAAATGAGAGTGGTAAACGTTAGAAGTGCTTTTAAAATGTCTGAAAGCACTTTTAGAGAAAATGTTTTTCTATTCCAAAAACACTTGAAGTGTTTTTTCAAAATTCACTTGCACATTTATTAAGAACTAGTTACACAAACATTTTCACCAAAAACACTTTTAGTCATTTTAAAAGCACTTCAAACAAGCCCTTAATGTTTGAGTGCTACTGGCCGTAGTGTGAGCGGTAAACATTATATTTTCGAGCAATTTCTCAGTCAATGTAGGATTTTCAAGCACTTATAATTATGCTAAATATTGCTTTTTATAACATCTGGTTGACAATTCTGGCTGTAGAAACTGAAAGCTCTGCCTAGAAATTTCAAGTAATCAGAATTGGCGTTCTGGGCCTTCCTACTTTCTTCCCCCACTTGAATTCTCAACGGAAAATTCGATCCCAACTGCTCAAAATTCAAATCCAGCGACTGTACTTTTAGAGAATAACATATGGTACAGGTACATGGTGCCTCTTACGTATGAATAAGAGCATTTCCACCGGAGGTGGAATAGCCCAGCACCCAGTCAAAAAACCAGGCTGGGACTCTGTCAATTCACTCCAGCCCATAAACTTGCCTGGCATCTAGCCCGTGCCAGTCTCCAGACCAGCCCATTTTTGACTGACCTTGGGACCGGCCCATCTGACGTCAGCGTGACATCAGCCACCTTTTTTTTTTTTTTTTTTTTTGTTCTGCGCCTGGTTTCCCAACACCAGATCTCACAAAATGTACGGAAAAGCCGCATTCACGCTCATCTTCGCCTTGCTCTTCCTCCTCACCTACTCAATCTTCATCGGCATCGTCGACATCCGATCCTACTTCCTCCCACTCATCCCCTCATCGCCGTCGCAGGTTGTCCGGTCCCTTTGCGCCACCACCTCCCCGCCTTTCAAGATCTACATGTACAATATCCCGCGCCGCTTCAACGTCGGAATTATGAACTGCAAGAGCACCGACTACACTTCTATCACTGCCCGAACTTGGCCTTCATGGCCAAAGAACTTCGGTGAGTACTGGATGATGGGCTCACTTTTGTTCGATGGTAATGGTGGTGATGGGAAGGAGAAAATAAAAATTTTATTTTATTTTTTATGAATTCAGAAATTAAAAATAAAATTATAATTTTTTATTATTTTATAATAAAAAATAATAATATTTTAATAAAATGAACTAGGCTTTTTTTTTAGGGATAGAGATGCTTTGACCTATTATTGTTTATTGAGGTCTATTACTATTCACTTGAGTGGATAAATGAGCTGGATGCTGGCACAAAGTCTTTAGGGGTGGAGTTGCTCTAAGAAGCATCTATAATTTTTGTTCATATGTTCTTATTTCATTTCATTGACACAAGACGCCACATGAAAGTCACTATTTTAGTGCAACGGTGACATTTGGGGTCTCAAACCAAATCCTGAAATACTTACGGCCCCGAGCTGGAGAAATCTTGAACTGGAATACATGTCAGAGAACTACAATGATACACGGCCAGATTTTTATTTTCGCAATCGAAACTATAAAATTCATAACAAAAAACAGTTTCAATGATACAAAATCTCTGAATAATTCCTCTTCCAAAACATTGCATACACAATTGAGCCAATGTAGGTCGTCCCTGAAGTGAATTTCTAGACATCTTTGTACAAGATACCAACTGGAACCATGATTTGCGAGCTTACAAATCATATGTAAATTGTACGGACCACTCTTCATGCAGACACTGGCGTTCGTTCCGCTGGAATCTTTGTCGGCGACCTTTCATTGAAACCTATCATCTTATTCAATGCGCCGATGTATGCCTTGACACTAGAGACAACAATATCCATTCCTGCTGCAACTCCACTGCCACCAGAGGACAATAGGGAATTTCATTCTGTTAATACGCGAATAGAGGAAAGTATTTGAAAATAAGCCAACATATAGACACCAAACCTGAATGTCCGTTGAACTGATTCTCCAGTGTGAGCATGAGTAATCATACGTTTGTTTTCTGGTCGGATTACAACACGAGTAGTTGCTATTGAATCATTTCCTTCTGTGACCGCATTCATAGAGTACTCAACAAGCGTTACAGGTTCCTGCTATGCAAAAGGTAAACAAACTGCTTTACAACACACAGGTATATAATGGTGTGGTAGCACATGTACAGCTTGTGGGAAAATAAAGTTCACAATATAAAGAATGTCCAACATTGAAAGTACTTCCAACGAAAGTTCTAATCATCGTCCATCATTCATCTTCGGTGACAAATTTTATCGAGTCATAAACTCATCGAAGCAGACATGTCAACTTGCAATAGTGAAAACTAATGTTCTTATCAAACCTTCACGATGAGATCAACAGCCTTGTAAGCCGAATCTACTGGACCCGTTCCAACTGAACATGCCACATGCTCTCTCCCATCAGCATCAATTAGTTTAACAGTTGCTGTAGAAAGACCAAGAGTTCCACAGGTAACCTGAGCATCCAGTCCAATAAATTAGAGATGATCAACTCTTAAAACTCATTGGGCAGATAATGAACATGGTAGAACACTATCTCGAAAAACCTGTAAATCATGAAGCTTCCAGACAACTTCTGGCTGAAAAACTTCATCTCGCACCAGTGCTCCGAGATCTGCATCAGTTATAATCTGGGATACCAACAGTGGAAAAAGAGTTAAAACAAGAATATCTTCAAGCACCAAAACGAGGATTTAAATATGTTAAAGATTCATATGTTTCAGAGTTTATTCGGTCCAAAATCCATCTTCACTGAGCATCTTAATCAATTGGATGGTTCCTATGCAGATTCCAATGTTTCAGACTCTCGTCTTTCAAGAAAAAATTTACCATAATCGCTTAATTTTCTATTCTGCGATGATATCCATATGCCTATCCAACAAGTTTACTGTCTTAATGGTGCTTGCATCGGATTTTTAGAAAACTTAAAATAAGAAGCAATACAAAACAACCACAACCAAATCTTATCCCACTAAGTCGGGACAGTTGTATGAGTTCTAGAACGCCATTGCACTCAGCTACGAAGCACGAAAATGGATACGGTGATACGATATGACACGGCAATACGGCAAAATTTAAAAAATGAGGATACGATGCAGCAACAATTATATATATATATATAGGGGCCTCTTAAGGGAAGGAATCCCCATTTTTTGAAAAAAAAGGGGATTAGTTGTGGGACCCACTCTATGTCAAACTTCAATGATCTATACCGTCAATTTTGTAAGTCTCGATTCGATTCATAGATCATCCATATAAAAATTCAATTCAATCCGAAACCATTTGCTTATATAATTACTATAAAATTTCAATGTTTCTTAAGAGAGCAAAGTGTTCGTCAATTTCTTTGAACTCAATTAGATGTCTCGAATATTTCCGATTTGGCTAATATTTTGCAAGGATGATCTATGAGGTACAATTATAGATATAAATTATAATATAGTATTTTGAAGCTTATTTTTGTTGGGCCTTCGTTTTCTCACCATAAGAAAAATTGGGCCTGGTTTAAAAGAAAAGACCACCTAACATTAAACAAAAACCCTAACAACCGCACCATTACAGGTCTGCTGCAGTCAGCTCCTTTTCCTTCCAATGGTAGATACGCCGCTCTCTCTCCCTCTCTTGCCTTGTTCAGATGGGCTGCTATTCTTGGTTTTTGTCATTCATTTCATCCTCAAAACTTGGACACCCATATCCCATATGTAGGACAGTCGTATCCCGAATGTAGGACACCTGTATCCTGTAGTAAGATACACGAATTCATTGGATCAAAACCATATCTGTTGATCCAGATACGTATCCAACCTGTATCTGTACGTATCTGGTGCGTATTGTATCCAACCAAATACCTGATACAGGATATACGACCAGAATGACGTATCCATGCTTCATAGTTATGCGCCAAAGTCTTCTGTTAGCTCCAAGCTCCAAGTACTTCATATCTTTTCTGAAAGTCTTTTTCCAAGTGTTCCTCTACCCCTTTTGCCTTGAGCCTCTGTTGCATAGTCATATCTTCTAACCGGAGCATTTATAGGTTTTTGGTTCATGTGTCCAAACCACCTTCACTGATTTCTCTCATCTTATCTTCAATTGTGGCCACTCCTACCTTACTTCCGATATTCTCATTCTTAATCTTATCATTTTTCGTGCGTCCACATATCCAACGAAGCATTCTCATCTCCTCTACGCTCATTTTTGTATGTGTTGGTTTTTAACCGCCCAATTTTCTGTGTCATAAAACATTGTTGGTCTTATTGTCGTCCTACAAAATTTTCCCTTAAGCTTTAGTGGTATATGACGATCGCACAACACAACCGATACACTCTTCCACTTCATCCATCCAGCTTGTATTCTATGATTGAGATCTCCATCTAATTCTCTGTTCTTTTGCAAATAGATCCAAGATAACAAAAGCATTCACTCTTTGGTACTTTCTGAGCTCCAATCCTCACCCCTATCTCATTTGCAGCCCTATTCCCACTGAACTTGCACTCCATTTACTATCTTTGACCTACTTAGGCAAAAACTTATTGATTCCAACACTTTCCGCCAAAGGTTAAGCTTCGCATTTACTCCTTGCGTTTCATCTATTAGCACCGGTGTTTTAAAAAACTAGCCTCAAGGCGCGCCTAGGCACTTTTGGAGGCGGGTTGCTGGGTTTTCGGCTTTGTTTTGTGAGGGTAGGCATAAGGCGGTGTCGGGGCGTGCCTCCAGGCTTTCAGTTGAGCCTTTTTTTCCTTCTAATTCCAGGTCTATTTCTGCCGTTCCTCTGTTTCTGCCATTCCTCTGTGTGCCGCTCTAGTTTCAAGAGAAGAAAGAGAGAGTTTCTCTCTCCAAATCCTAGTGACAAAAGTCTAACTCTCACTCTTTTTTGTTTTTTTTGTTTTTTATTAATTATTGCCCATTCAGATTCTGCCACCTAGCATTTTGATTAGCCAAGATTTATTTCTCTTGAAATTTCCTATAACTACTCCACTCAGCCATTATTTCCTTTAAATTCCCTATTGCTCCACTCAATCTTTATTTCATTTTAAATTCCCTATAATAGCTCCACTTAGCCTTTATTTCCTCCTTTATTTCCTTTTGAATTGCCTATAATTGCGACATTCTGTCTTTATTTCCTTCAAACTCCCTATAATTGTGGCCACTCAGCCTTATTTCTCTTGAAGTTCACTATAATTGCTTACAATAAAATATATAATTACAACATTTTAAGACTATACGACATAATTTCAAGTACAACTACACTTAGTAATGAAGAAGATATTATCTTTGGCTTAGTTATAATTATATTAGTTTTACAAAGTTTTATGCTATATATGTAATTATATATGCAATATATATTAAGTTATTTGGGTCCCAAGAGGCTTCGCCTCACGCCTAGGGGGGGCTATCCATGGAACGCCTTGACTACGCCTCCGCCTTTTAATACAGTGATTAGCACGATATCATCTGCAAAAGCATACACAAAGGGATATCATCTTCAATATGTCCCGTTAACTCGTCCATTACCAATGCAAGAAGGTAAGGACTTAAAGCTGAGCCTTGGTGTAATCTTATGGTTATGGAAAAGCTTTCAGTTTGTCCTTCATGAGCTCTTACTGGAGTGCTTGCTCCAGTATACATATCCTTTATTACTTGGATATATGCTCCTCATGCTCATTTCTTCTCTAGAATCCTCCAAAGAATTTCTCTAAAGACCTTATCATACGCCTTTTTCAAATCTATAAAGACCATGTGCGAATCCTTTTGCATATCTCTATAATGTTCCATCAATCTTCATAAGAGATAGATTGCCACCATAGTCAAGTGCCTTGGCATGAACCAGAATTGATTCTCTAAGACCCCTATCTATGGTTAATTACTCTCTCCCAAAGCTTCATTGTATGACTCATTAACTTCATACCCTTGTAGTTCATGCAATTTTGTACGTCACTCTTATTCTTATAGATAGGCACCAAGGTGCTTATTCTCCACTCATTTGGCATCTTCATCGTTTTCTTATTGAAAAAGTTTGTGAGACATGCTATACCCGTCTCCCAAAGACCTCCTATACTTCAATCGGTATATCGTTAAGAACCACTACTTTTCTATGCTTCATCTTTTTCAGAGCTACAACCACTTCCTCTAAGGAGTAATTTCTACACTCTTCCGAGTTACTCAACTCACCCAAAGAAGTACTCATGTCGTGTCCTTCATTGAAAAGACTATGAAAATAAGCTCTCGATTTGTCTTTAACCGCATTCTCCATAGCTAGAACATTTCCATTCTCATCCTTGATGCACCTTACTTGGTTCAAGTCTTTTGTCTTCCTTTCCTGTGCTCTAGCCAGTTTATAGATATCCAACTCTCTTTTGGTATCTAATCTCTTGTCCATGTCGTCAAAAGCTGCTAGTACGATATAATTTTGACCAATGTATACAATGTCGATCCATACATCAACATTTCGGTCTACTATTGTAACAGTTGAAACAAAGATAAGCCTTGTTTTCCCAACATCACCACAAACCTCCAGTGGCTGGAAACGCATTGGTAGCAGCAAAGCAAACATGCATTACAGATTGCATAAGTTTTTTTTCCCTCTTATGTAAATTTGGTGCCATGTGCTGCTTCCAAATATTAACATATTTCATGATTATTCACATTTATGTAAGTTATTTGTTAAGGCAAGCAGATGGTGAAGGTGAATATTTTGGTATAAATAGTGAAGGTTTGAAGATATTGGATGGTGTCCTTTATTACATTCCCGTCATTCTTGTCTGATTTAAGTTGAGAGACTGCACAGCTAACAAATAATGTCCAACTCCAAGCTAGAGTACCAAAATTTATGAAGAAAATGAGTTGCTCTAATCATGTCCAACTCTTGTTACTTTGAATCTAAGATTAGGCTTATCTACTGGCTTATTAGATGATATAGCAGATATCCTTAATTTTACAATAATAACATGAATTTATAATTCCTCAATAGCAATCAACCCAACCATTTTCCATATGATGGTCATCTTAACAATTTTCACAGGTGGATGTTATGCATTTATCATGGATGGACTGTTTAAAAAGTTTACACGTTTGATCAATACATTATTTATTGATTTGACATTTCCTAAGACTTCACTCACAATTTCATATTTAAAGCAAATTTCTGTTGTTTGTCATTTTAGCAATAAATTTCCCAGCTATTTTAGTAAACCCCAACTACCAATATTTGTACAAAATCAACATTTTCATCCTTGCAGTTTACAAGTTAACAAATAGAGAACCATACTTATGAAGTAAACATGGGGATACTGCTACACCTTTGAATTTACCTTTTTCTGTTCAGCTACAGCTTTGAAATGCTCAAACACAGTAGCAAGTTGATCATCCTCAAGCTCATAGCCAAGCTAACAAGAGTAAATAAGAGCAGAAAGGAGGTGAGCGAAAGCAACTAATAAATTTAATGGATATAACTTGCATAGAATAAGAGTCATTGCATACCTCCGCAAGTCGATTTCTCAAAGCATGACGCCCACTACAGAAGAAAATTACACCCAGAACAAAAAGGAAAGAAAAAGTTACATTTTGAGGGATTAAATGAGTAGTGCACACATAAAATAAGTAAATTCCAGTAAAATACAGCAACTGTAATCCATGTTTAAGTGAAAAAAAAAACAGTACGTTGAGAGAACAAAAGGCATGCTAGCACATCCCTGGTTGCAGACACGCATGGTTGATTATTATACAATAAGAACTCATATTAACAAGAAAATGTAGTCTATTTCACAAACTTGTATATAAGGATCACAAGGTAATGTAACAATATACCAAAACGCAACTATCCAGGTCCTTCCTCCCAACCTCGGGTTTTTAATCTGAAACCCTTTTATTGATCTGAGTCTAGGTCAACACTGAAGTGAAAGTGTAATAAAAAAAAATATGAAATTAGTTGGAAGATGAAGGTTCGAAGTCTCAAAACTAAAATAGAAAAAAGTCAAGGCTTGTTTGGTAACAATTTTGGTTTTTGGATATCTGTTTTAATTATAAACAGAGATGCGAAAAGAGATGACAGATGTACAGGAGATATCAGGAAAAGTATGTAGAATAATGCATATGCACCTCCCATCTCCCCCTTGCAAAACAAAATAATCATAATAAAATTAAAATCTTCTTCCGCTGTTATAAAATTTCAATTAGAAAACCTGAACCAAAAAGAAAATATTATCAAACAAGCCATTACATGTTGAAATTTAACTTGAAACTTGAAAATAAACAATTTGTCAACTTACAAACCAGAAGAGAGGAAGCTTTAATGCAGTGAGAGACTGCTTAAAATATACAGATCGAACACACAATTCTCAAGATTTAGTTAACACCTCAGCCATAAAGAAGCATGTAACATGGTTATTAATCATTGGATTAGGAGGACAGAACACTTAGTTTTGCATGTTGTTTTTATCAAGACAAGGTGCCACACGGGGGCAAAAAAGTATTCAAAACCACAAATTGGAATTAGCATAAAAGAAAACATTATACCTGAGTTTCCCAAGAACAATACCAGCTTCATTGGACCGTTCATACCCAATATCTTCAGGAGATATGATTTCATATGTACCTTTGTGCTTAAGCATTCCATCCTACAGATTAGGAAGCCTTTTACAAATACATACTAACAAATTCAATATAAAACCTGAAACATGGAAATTAGCAAAGACATTTACGGGAGGTGTATTCAATTAGAAATTTTGACTTTAAAGACTTTTGACGGTGATAACCATAGAAACCATGGATGTGTTTTGGGAAGATAGGAAAGATGAATGTACAAAACATGTCCGTAAAAGTTTATTAAACTCTATGAAAGTCTATCACAACTTTTATGGAGTCTATAAAAGTAATGAAAATCAGATAGAAAATTTGTTAAGTCTACAACAGTGTATGAGGGATTAATACCCCCCCACAAAAATCAAATAGACATTTTTTTTTATCAGAACCTGATGGATACCACTTTCATGTGCAAAAGCATTAGCTCCAACAATAGCCTTGTGTGGCTGCACATGCAACCCAGTGTACTCTTCCACCTAAACAAGCAAATCATTCAGTATGAAACTCTGATAAAAGGATTTATGGTAATGAAGCAGTAATTGGTTGAAGTTCTGAAAGAAGTTAACGAGATACCATCTTGCTTGTTACATAGATATGCTTAGTATTGATTCCAGTATAAAGCCCCCCAAGAACATGCTCCCCGCGACAATTTAAGGTCATGACAACCTGCACATATATTCGTTTAAAATCGTAATATAAAGTAAAACAAGAGCATATGAAGAGTATTGCATATAAATGTTTTAAGAACTGAGTCAAACAATATAAAACAATGTAACACATTTGAAGACAATCAATGTTGCCCCAGAAACATTAAGGAGCCATATTCAGAAAGATATTCTAAGGTTCAGTCATACTTCCCAACGAAGAATGCAAATAACATAGAGCATGTAGTTTTGACACCAATTTACATAGGAAAGCATCAAATTAATCAGTGAATTCTTGAATACTGTTAGGTAACAAGATGAATGAGAATCTTGTAAGACGCTAGAAACATGTAGCACAGAAACTTCTCCAGAAGAATTATTTAAACTGTATCAGCATAGGACATGAATAACTCTGTAATATCTTCAAATACATATCAGAATCTTTGTAAATGAGGCCCAAACATAAAAAAAATTTCAAAATCACGAAAACATCAGTTCCAAGACTTCTCAACCGCCAACTTTCAGAATTTCTGAAAATCTTCATATCCTTCAGTTCCTCCCAAGGATTACGGCAGCTCCCATTAGTCTCTATATAAGAATTCCCACCAATCCGTACTATCCCATATCCACTTTTACTTATGCCACAAATCCTCCATTCTCTTTAGCTTTACTCACCAATATTCCCAATTCGCCAAACAGTCACTGTTTCCTTCCCATACACTAACCACAGGAAGATGCACATTCCACATTCCAACTTCTCAGCAATAATTTCTAAGCCAGACATCTTGGAGGTGTTATTTGTTGCAAACAACAACATGAAATCTAAATGGATACTGTTGGCATCAAGTTTACAAAAAGAACTTCATTTGAACGATGTTAAAATTTTCAAATTCAACGACACAAATTAATCTTGAAAGTATGCAAATTTATGTTGCAGCAGAAGTAACCCTCACCTCCTCTAATGAAGCATTCCCAGCCCTTTCACCAATGCCATTGATTGTTACTTCCAGTTGCCTAGCACCTGCACATGCCCCCTGAACATGGATGAGATAAGATGTGAGTGCATTGTGTTATTAAGTAGGAGCCTAATAAGAACACCGAAACATAAACAAATGCATACCGCTAAAGTGTTGGCAGTAGAAAGTCCAAGATCATTTTGGCAGTGAGTAGAAATGATAACGTTGTCAATTCCAGGGGTATTAGATTTTATGTCAGCGATCAACTGACTATATTCATCTGGCACATTATAACCTACAGTGTCAGGAATATTCAAGGTTGTTGCCCCAACCTTTATAACTTCACCCAAAATCTGATACAGAAACTCCCTTTCGGATCTGGTAGGGTATGGGACAACGAAGAAAAGGAAAATTATACTTAGAAACACAAGAAAATGAAATGAATTATATAAGAAAAAATAAAAATTAGCATGACAGAAAGAACTTCACGATTCAGAAAATGGGCAAATCAGGCTCAAATAGCAGGTCACAACACATAAGCATTATTAAAATAAAAAATAAAAACAATGAATTACACAACAATACACTACACACACATGCTCAAAGATACATATGGTAGAATCAAAGCAAAAACCTTACCGCCCAGCATCTTCGGGGCTAAACTCAACGTCATCGCATCCCAACTCCCTGGCAAACTTGACCATGTTCCTTGCAATTTCAATCACCTGCTCCTTGCTCTTCCTCAGTTTATACTCCAAATGAATGGGACTGGTCGCAATAAAAGTATGAATCCTTGGCCTTTTGGCATACTTCACAGCATCCCATGCCGTCTGAATATCATTTCTATTGCACCTTGACAATCCACAAATGACGGGAACATAACCGTCCTTGTCAACTGCATTCCCAACCTCTTTTGCAATCATCTTCACAGCCTCGGCATCGTCTTTGGAAGAGGCGGGGAAACCAGCCTCAATTATGTCAACCCCAAGCTTTGCTAACTTCCGGGCGATGTCGAGTTTTTCTTTTGAGGTCAAGGAGGCACCAGGGGACTGCTCACCGTCGCGGAGAGTGGTGTCGAAGATGCGGACATAGTTGGGGTCAGAGATGCGGTTGGGGATGTAATCAGGTCGGGGAGTAGGCATGGAGTTGTCAGTTTGAGAGCAGAGAATGTGGGGATTACAAGTGTTGTGAAGATTGGGACGGGAAACTAGAAATTTTGGCATGTTGGGTTTGTGCAAATGCGAGCGGAAGAGGAGCTGGGATTGGGAGGTGTTGGGGATGTTGACAGAGGACATGGTAGCTGCCGGTGATGGTAAAATTTTAGGGTTTGTGCTGACAGCCGCCATGGTTGAAGAGGGTTTTTCACAGTCGCCTCCTAAACCCTAAACCCTAAACCGGATAATCAACCCTGAGAAAAAGAAGTTTGTTAGCTGGGTTTGGGTTTGTGGTAGAGTAGCTAATGGAGTATTTTATTTGAATCCACCCTCATGGATTCACCTTACTGTCATCTAAAATTAAAACAACTAAAGAAATAATCAACAGAAAATCCTGTCATAATTCAGTAAAAATATGTAAAAGGAAACGAGAGATGGATTCGAGTTTCCAGGAAATTTGAAAAATCCGTAAACCTAGCCATTCCATTTTCTTCTACCTCCTCTAATTCTATAAACCAAACTATCTATTATTAACAGCTCTTTCACTCAATCAACCAACATCAAACAGAGAAACATTCAATTCAACTCCATTTCATTTAATTCAACAGAAAATTGCAGCAACAAGAAACTGACTCTTGGAGTTGCAGAAGCAGACGCAGACGCAGACGCAGACCAGACGCACTGGGCTGCTGGTGGCTGCTGCACAACAGTTTTTCGGCGGCTGAGTTAGTGAGAAACTTAAATTTAAATTATTAATTGTCCATTTTATTCTACGCACAATTTTTTTTTTTTTTTTAAGGCCCAACTTAAATTTAAATTATTAATTGTCTATTTTATTCTATTAAATAATTATTATTAAGTACAAAATGAAATTAACAATAAAACTTAAATTTATTAATAGGACCATTAAACCCTATCATCACTTTTGTTTATCCTACCATCCTTTTATTGTTTTTCTCTACAGACATATGCTTGCATCCTCAAAACACCATTTGGCATCAATGTAACTATTTCTTATAGTGTCACCTATCACTTCATTTACAAGTAATAGGCCTTTTAGTGCATACTTGCAGAATTGTAAGGACCTTAACACCTTAACACACCATATTTTTAGAGGAAAATTAACGAAAATTCCAAAAAAAAAAAAAAAAAAAACTTTAGCTCTAATGAAAAATAACAAATAAAAGTATAGTGAATAGTACCAGGGAAAGGTAAAAATGTGGTTTTTTATTAAAAGTGAACAGTACTGAGAGTGTTTCGTTAAAACTCCCTATTTTTAATCGATTTAAACCTAACATGTGGTGAGATCAGGCCCCTACTACAAATTATATTCTTCTAGTAAAAGAATGAAAAATTTACAATAATTCTAGTTAAGAGCTTGTGTACTTTCAACTTGTTACTTCTATTGATGAAAGTTTATATTTTTCGAGTAAATATATGAAAATTCTATCCTCACTGTGATTAGATAATTCAAGCTTAGAGCTTATGTTTTGATAGATATGTTGAAATTTTCTTTTTTTTTTTTTTTTTTTAGTTTATTTTCTATCATGTTTTAAGTTTAGAACTCACGGTGGAAAAATTGGTAATGTGAAAAAGGGAACTAGCTATAACAATCTTCCTGTAATTCTCGAATCAAGACAAGCAAGTTTAATTGCTTACTGTTGGAAAAGTTGATAATTGGTTTCTTTTAATTGCAGGGTCTTTTTGGTTTTTAAAATCTTAGTGTTTTCCATATTTTCAAATATCCATACCTCGTAATTGGAAAATTTCAAGGCTAAACTTCTTACCAATGTTCTTAGATTATAAACTTCCTTACTTGTTGATAAATTTAAGGGGATGAATTGTTTGATTTGTTGCTTATGCACATCAGTGGAAAGAAAAAAGGCAAATGGTTGGGTTTGGTAGCAAAAAGAAAAAAAGTAGTCATGAAAATGCTAGTGGGAAGAGTGGGGTGGGGCAATGACGCCTCTTTTAGAAGAAAAAAAAAAAATCAATTACAGATGTTATTTTATAAAAAGAATGAGGGCAAAGATAACTTAACATTTTGAATTGGGTTTGAGATGGTAGTTTAGGTAATAAATTTGGATTTAAAGAGAGATTAATTCTTTAATAAAAAATAATATGGGTGAAGAGAGTAAGTTAGGTGTAGAAAGAAGTTACATGGGTTCAAATAAAATTTCCCTTCTTTTTTATTATTTTTAATTCTTTGCCCTCTTGTATTTTTTGAAAAATTTGAAAAACTACTCAAAATTTGGTTCATAAATAGAATTTTGTTGAAAACATTGGCAATGTTGAAAATGTTGGTAGATTAATGAATGCCCACACAGATTTTTCAATACCCACACACAGTAATGTAGACTTTGGAAATGAAGGAGATTATATTTTTCAGAGGGTGTAATTAATATGTTTCGAGTTGCTCTATAAATAGAACGCTCCGACTGCTATCAAAATACACAAAGAGTAAAGGAAAGATAAATAACATCATTATCCGTCCCTCTTTTATTTGTCATCCCTTTATGTTATAGTTATAGTGTAATATTTTACACCTTACTTCGCTCTTGTCGCTAGTAAAGGTTATCTCTCTAACTTTTACCTATTTATAACACGTTATCAGCATGATTCTCTAAAATCTAATCATTTCTCATTTCTCTTCACCGAACGAAAGAAAAAAAAAATGTTTCCTCTAAGGATTTTACTGTTCATCTTCTTACTCTGCCTTAACTGCTGGATATACCCTCACGAAGAACCGTTTGCACCATGCTTGCTTTTAGTTATCAACTTAACAGTTACATATATCTTTGATTTCTTGTTTGGTGTAGATCTTGATTACTAACCCAATGTTTATTTATGTTAATTTTACTGTAATCCAAGATGGTGCGGTATAATCGCCCATCTTGAACTGCAAATTTAATCTTATTCCAATCCAAGATGGTGCGGTATCATCGCCTATCTTGGACTGCATATCTAATTTTATTGCAAATTTTAGGTGGAGCGGTATAATCGCCCACCCTACCCTGTATATTTAAATTTGCTTGTCGTTTAATTTCATTGTAATTTTAGGTGGTGCAGTATAATCGCTCACCTTCTCTGCGTATTTAAATCTTCCTGTTACTTGAGTGGTGCGAAATAATCGCACATCCTATGTTATGTTATTTCAATGAGAATGGTGCGATACAATCTCCCTCCTCATTCATCATGTAAATCTCGAGCTTGAAGTTTCGAATGCTTATTATTTTGGCTTGAAGATTAAAATGAAAAATTTATAAGAACCAGAAGTTCTAACACTACATACCTCCAGAATACATATTATTCCAAGTTCTTACATATCTCATTTTTCTTTCTGAAAAATGACAAACTTGGCAAAACTTGATTTTGTTGCCTTGGACATTACTTGGAAGTACTACCTTACCTAGGTAGTAGATACCAAGATCCATTTAGAAGCAAGGAATCTTGAAGAAACAATCAAGGAGGAGAACAGTGCATTTCTCAAGATCGGGTGAAGACCATGATCTTTATTCGTCGCCACCTTGATGAAGCACTAAAAAGCGAGTACCTAACAGATAAAGATCCGTTAGCTCTCTGAATACATTGAGAAACAGATACAATCACAAAAAAATGGTGATTCTTCCAAGAGCTTGTTATCAGTGGACTCACCTAAGGATCCATGATTTCAAGTCAGTGGCTGAGTACAATTCTGCGATATTTAGAATTAGCTCTTAGATGAAACTCTGTGGGGAAACCATCATTGAGGAAGATATGCTGGAAAAGACTTTTAGCACCTTTCATGCCTCAAATGTGCTCCTGCATCAGCAGTATAAAGAGCGAGGTTTCATGAATACAACCAGCTGATATCTATGCTCCTGGTAGCTGAACAAAATAATAAGCTCCTGATGAAAAATCATCAGTCCCGACCTACTGGATATGCGCCATTCCCAGAAGTGAATGCTGCTTCCCTCGAAGTGAACGCCACATCCTCTGGTGGCAATAATCATAAATGAGAATGTAGCCACAGGCGATGACCGTGGAATGGGAAAGGCAAAAATCATGGTGTCCAGTTTCACAACCAGGTTCCAAGGCATAATTCAGGACCGAGCTTCAAAAATGTGAATTGCCACAAAGGCAAAGCTTATATGAACAATGCTCCTAGAAACTCTGAAAGAGCCTGCCATAGGTGTGATGGCAATGGGCATTGGGCGCGTCCTTGTCGTACCACAAAATATCTGGTGAATCTATATCAAGCCTTAATCAAGGAGAAGGGTGTCGAGACCAATTTTCTCGACCAGGCTAAACCAATGGATATACCTGATCCAGTGTGTGACTTATTAGGGTAGTTGAACACAACCCACCTAGATGTCTCAGATTTTATTGTGGAAAAGGGTAATGAAGTATACTAGTCCGACTAAATTGTTTATGTTTGATGTACTAAACTTGTAGTTCAAAAATAGCACTTCAAATTCAATAAAAGTGGTGTTTAAATTTCTTGTTATAACTTGCTTTTAACTATGATTCCCTTACTCATAGAGTATAGATAAAAATTATGGTCATTCTTAAAACATGAGAAATGGAGGAGATATTTGTCTTGCAAACTGCACAACCATGCATACAATACTTCGAGATCAAAAGTATTTCTCAAGATTGATGCTTACAAAAGTAACGGTAACAACAATATACGACCCTTCAAATGTGCTCAAGGAAAGCTCAGATTATGTTACAAAATGGAACAATATTGTCCATACAGAATGCGTTGTACGTTACTCGATCTACTCGAAATTTGTTGAGTTTCAAAGACAAACATTTAAATGGATACCACATTGAAACGAAAAGTGCAGAAAATGTGGAGTATCTATGCATTGCCTTCAATGATACCCAGAAGCATATATTGGAGAAGTTGTATGGTTTGACGAGTCGATTGTATTATACATACGTAAAGACAGTTGAATCACATACTGTCATGAACCATAAGTTCATTGATTCAAAAGTTTACATGCTTTGGCATGACCGTCTGGGTCACCCAGGATCTACCATGATGCGTAGGATCTTTATCAACTTTAATGGACATCCATTATTGAATAAACACATTGCTATCTCAAATGATAACCCTTGCAAGGCTTGTTCTTAAGGGAAGTTGGTAATTAGCTTATCACAATTAAAGATTGATGTTGAATCCCCATCATTTCTACAAAGAATTCAAGGGGATATATGTGGGCCTATTCAACCATCTTTTGAACCATTCTGATATTTTATGGTTTTGGTTTATGCATCTACCCTATGGTCACATGTTTGTCTCTTGTCTACTTGGAATGTAGCTTTTGCGAGACTTCTTACTTAGATAATTAAGTTGCTAGCACAGTTCCCAGATTACCCTATTAAGTCAATCCGACTTGATAACCTTGGTGAATTTACGTCTCAAACTTTTGATGATTACTGCATGACATTGGGCATTGATGTTGAACACCATGTTCCTTATGTCTATACTCAAAATGGTTTAGCAGAAGCATTGATCAACGGCTTCAGTTAATAGCCCGCACTATGCTCATGAAAACAAAATTGCCAGTCTTTGCATGGGGACATGCCATTTTACATGCTTCATCATTGGTTCGATTAAGACCTATAGCCAACCACCAATACTCCTTAGTACAATTCATGTTTGGACATTAGCCAAACAT